AGTAGAAATGAAGATAGAGTCTACAAGTGCTACACCTGTGGAAATTTAGGACACAAATCTTGTGACTGTCCAGAGTTGAAGGAATTCTTGAGACAACAACGATACAAGAAGGAAGGTATGGCAAGTAGTGCTATAAGTGAAATTGTCGATTCAGTCCACAAAGCCAAAGCGTATTGTTCAGTAGGAGTTAAATGCAATATGAAGCGGAAATGCTGGTATTTAGACTCTTGTTCATCAGATCACATGACACCATTGAAAGAAGAATTTGTCGAACTGGATGAAGATTACTGTGGCATCATCAAGATGGGAAATGGGGACGAAGCTCAGATAGAAGGCAAAGGCATCGTCATGATTCGTACACCTGAAGAAGACGGAGGATTCAAGATCACGTTGTCTGAGACACTTTTCGTTCCAGATCTTGAATGTGCTTTGATGTCTGTTTCAAGGTTGACAGATAAAGGTTTGGACGTCATGTTCACTGCTGAAAGAGGAGTAGTTTTGGATAATGATGAGCTGATCTTTAGAGTCAAGAAGGATGATCGGGTATACGTTGTAAATACTGCGGATATCAGAAGTGAAAATTTTAACATTGGACAGAAGAATGGATTAGCTATGTCTCTCTCAGTCAACAACATGCAGCTATGGCATCGAAGATTTGGACATGTGAATAAAAGGGATTTGTTGAGAATTCCTTTTCTCAAAAATTTAAAAGAAGAACCAAATAAAGATGATGAGAAATGTGAAGTTTGCATTCAAGGAAAATTCAGTCGCCTAATAGGTAAAATTTCACCACCATCTATATTGGCGGATCATTATTTATTATGACTCTTATTGACGATTACTCTCATTATATCGTTGCCAAATGTTTGAAGACGAAGGATGAGGCGTTTCTTGAATTTGTTAGATTTCATTAGGAAGCGGAAAATCAACAGAAAAAGTTACTGACCATGCAAAGTGACAATGGTGGCGAGTACATATCAAATGTTTCCGAGAAGTACTTGCATGAAAATGCGGAATAAAAGATAGGAGAAGTGCACCAGGTTGTCCGCAGCAAAATGGTCTGGCAGAACGGCAGAACCGCGCGTTCTGGTAGAAATGGCAAGATGCATATGATGTTAGAATCCGGTGTACTCATGAATTTTTGGGCAGAAGCAATTATGACATCAGTTTTTATCAGAAATCGGTGCCCCTCATCTGCAATTGACCTTACGAAATCTGGCACAGTAAGAAATTAAAGTTAGATACAGCAAATTTAATTAAGATTTTTGGTTGCCAAGCATGGGCAAAGAAATCTAAATCAACGAAATTTGAATCAAAAGCTGAAACATGTGTGCTTATTGGATTCGGCGAAAATACGAAGGACGGTTATCGATTATGGAGTTTGAAGCGAAGAAAGGTAATCATCAGGAGAGATGTAATTTTTCAGGAAGAGATTTTTCCATTTAAACAACCTGTATTGAAAGTACCAAGTGAATGTCGAAACCAAACTCAGACATTTAAGATTAACAATTTTGACTGCAATTTCCTAAGCGAGTTAAACAAAAACGAAGGATTGTTTTCTGAAATCTCTACAGATAAAAATTATTCTATTGAAATTGTACCCGAAGGAGAGATGGTTGCTCAAAATCAAGACGTGTTAGATGGAGAGCTGGAAATTCAAAATCAAAAAGCTGTAATAGCAGAAATGATTCATAACCAAGGAGAAGAGCAAACTGAAATCGATAATACTGACGATAAGGACCTGTACAATTAAGAAAATCTAGTAGAGCACCAGTAACAAGAAAATGATGTAAATTGCCATGTTGTATGTTTGCTCTACGATTATGAAGAGAAGATTCCGTCCAGTTATGAGGAAGCTGTGAATGGCTCAAACGCACTTGCATGGGAGGATGCCATTATAATAACGAATTTCGGAATTTAAATTTGCAAGAAACCTGGAAAATTATAAAACGACAACCAGGTGCAAGGGTAATAGCCTGCAAGTGGGTGTTCACAATCAAAAACGGAGATGGAAACATTAAGTAAGTATAAAGCCCGACTTGTTGCACAAGGTTTTCGTCAAACTCACGGAGTAAACTATTTCGAAACTATGAGTCCTGTAGTGGAGCAGAAATCAATCAGACTTCTGACGTATCTAGCTGTACATCATGGATGGAGGTTGGATCATGTAGATATGTAGTCGGAGCGTACCTCAATAGCAGTTTGGATGAGGAAGTATTGATGGAAGTACCTGATGGATTAGAACTCGATAAAGGTACATTCGTTTGTAAACTTAAAAAAAGTCTGTACGGCCTTAAGCAATCAGGTAGAAACTGGTATAATCACGTAACATCCATTATGTTAAGTTTAGATTTTGCCAAATGTATCAGTGAACCTTGCATATTTTTTAAGAAAGACATTGTAGTGGCCGTTTATGTTGACGATTTTTTGGTTTCGGGAATTGAAGAAGAAGTTTTAAAATTTAAAGAAATTATTGGAAAAATTATCAAACTTAAAGATTTAGGTCCCGTAAGATCATTTATATCAATACAGTTTGATCGACCTAGTAAGAATGTTATAACCATAAATCAGAGTCAGTACATAAAATCCATATTAAATGAGTACAATATGTCAGAATCTAAAGGCACTTCTTGTCCACTTCAAGTAGGAGCGCATTTTGAAGTGAAAGGCGAAGGAGAAATTTTTGACCGTGAATTGTATCAAAAGGCGATAGGTTCTCTTCTTTATATTAGCACTTGTACTCGGCCTGACATTGCAAATGCTGTATGTAAATTGAGTCAATGCAACCAGAGACCCACTGTAAGAAATTGGAGAGGTGTTCAAAATGTGTTAAAGTATTTAAAGAAAACAATAGGTTATAGATTAACTTATAAGAAAAATGGCGTTTTCTCATGTTATAGTGATTCAGACTGGGCTAGTGATAAAAATGACGCAAAATCAATAACTGGTTATGTTTTTAATTTTGGGAATGGAGCAGTTATTTGAAAAAGCCGAAAACAGAAATGCGTAGCCAGTTCATCAACTCATGCAGAGTATATCGCCCTTTATGAGTCAATGTGTGAATTTCTGTGGCTACAAACTTTGTTACGTGAATTAAGTGAAGAAGATTTAATTTATGGAAGAGAAATTGTTTATTGTGATAATCAAGGTTCGATTGCAATTGCAGAAAATGAAAATATAATGGAGAGAAGTAAGCATTTTGTTGTTAAATACAATTTTGTGAGAGAATGTATTAATAACAGAATGATAAAAGTAGAATATATACCTTCATCAGAAAACCTTGCTGACCTCTTCACGAAATCCCTGTCGGGGCCCAAAACAGAAATGTTTGCTAAGGCTATAGGTCTACTCTAAGAATCAAGATTTTTTAAATATGAAATAAGGGGAGGTAATTTGTATTTTATATTTAAAACTGTGTATTCCCTATTTTGAACTTAGAAGTAAGTTTTGATGTAGTATTCTTTATATGAATTTATAAATATTTTTAATCGAGGGGAGGTGTTGAAGTACGATCATAAAATATTTTATAAAATATAAAGTGTGTTGATGTTAAAAAAAATATATGATGAATATTGAATGACATTTATGAACTTCTTTATTTTTCTATTATTTTGAAGCTCAAGACGTTTTATTAATGTTCTAACATTAATCTTTCAACATACTCCTCGAATAAATATCTTATCTTATCTTATCTTATGTCGGGCTATGTACATTCCGATCGAGGTGGATCATTTATGTCCGATAGAAAACAATTAAACTAGCTCTGAAGACTCATAATTTACAATTCGTTCTCATTTATGTAGGTATAACGATTAACTGCACGCCACATGAAATAGACAATAGACGATCTCCTAATGGAGACTTCTATACCTATCTATATGGCGGACAGATGTAGGACAAGTCGGTACTATTGCGTCGCTGTGACCGAAGCAGTAAATACCAGCTTTTCGTTGAAGAGGTAGACTTGTTGGAATCAAACGCTAATTACTCATTTGTTCGCCTTCGAGATGGACGTGAAACCACTGTGCCCAACCGACACATGGCTTCCATTGGAAGACAAGGAGAGATAATATCTCTAGACCAGAACCTGAAGTTGTTAGTCTAGCTAGAGCCTCAGGATTTCACTTTTACCAATCGTACGCTCTCAGTTTTATTTATTTACGTTGTCTTGGCTCTATCCAGACGGAACCAACGAAACTGGACGGTTCACTGACATATTTGCTCAAAACCCACGCATTCTAAACGTGCATGTTTCTCGCTAGTAAACTGACTCACGCCTACTATGCGTATGAAGCGGCACATAAGATATTTTACACATATATCTAAAATTCGAAAAATTTAAAATGGTTTGGTGGTCTCCGTTGCAGGCCAAATCAGCGACAATTTAATACAGGGGCTAATTGGATTCAAGATGAAGCGAAACCAACGAAAATGCCGATAGGCTTTCTTGTTAAACCTAGACACTACTCCTCTTGAAAATCAATGATCCATGAAAGTAAATCGGGAGAGCTAATACACTGCTCGTATAGCATATCTGATCTTTTAGACGCTCCCAAAGTGGTAATACTTGATCAGCCATCCTTATTCTCCCAAGCTGAGCCCTAATCACTTTTTCATTTTATCTATAATCAGGAAACAGGTGCATGGAAAGCGATTCCAGTTACCAAGAGCCAGCTAAAGTTTAAAGGTTTGCGATTTCAAATTATCTAACCTGAGAATGGAAAGTCCGGTGTCCCGCGTCTCAGTTAAATTTGTATGATACACCCCTACATCGATACATTTTCATGGAAATTAACTGTTAGATAAGTTATATAATAATATTTTGATAATTATACCTACTTATTCCCTGGTAAAAACTGCAATATGACTGTGTGAATCCATATCGTAACGCGTGTCCTTAAACATGAAACTGTTCAGTCCTGCGCAATAGCCATTTGGTTTAACGGTTATATAATTTCCAAGTTTTAATACAGAAAGGGAGTACGGGAGTCGATAGACATTCTATGGAACATCGTCCGTATTTCACTGTTATCAAGAGATTGCATAAACACAGAACTAACTGTAGTTTCCGATTTTATTTTGCTTTAGGACGGCTCTTGACTATGAACTGACGCGTTCTGTTCAAAGACTTTTGAAATTGTTATACATAGGTACATTGCTGAGTATGTCGCTGTAAGAGTCTCACAAAAAGGAGTAACTGATGTTACGAGTATGTATGTATCGCAAACATTCTCTATAACTTAGTATTAACTACCGATTACGTGCATATATAATGAGCTAATAATATTTTAAACGATAAGGAAAAAATGTTAATTGAGGACATCGATTATATATAATAAACGTCGCCTTCAAGTGTTTTTAATCGATTCTTTTACAGAAATTTTTGTGTAAACGCGTTATGTTAATTCTACTAATTATAAATTGTACTTAATACTCTCTTGATTTTTAATTTGTTATCACGTTCAGTTCAAAATGTTTAACACGCTGCGTACTGGACTTCTCTTTTCATTACTTATTATTATTACAACAGCTAGTAGCGACAATTGCGGTAAGTGGAATTATGGAATAAATGCGCCATTAAGTGTTTTTTAGTGCCTCACAATGGCAGGAGGCAATCACCCATCAAGATATGGACCAAAGCTGCAACGTCAGTGTTCGCACCCCCATTAAATTGGAGTTATGGATATGCGTTAAAACCCCAAAAAATGTTTTTAAACAACACTGGACTTTCATGTAAGTACCCAGTTATTACTGCATAAACTACTGCACCTTCTTTTAACAGAGAAAGAATTAACGTGAGCTTTTTTAATCATTTGCATTTTGTATTTTTGGAAACATTTTTTGATTGCCCTACATAAAAAATCGAATACCTACAAAAAATTACCTTCCACATTGCAATATATTAAATGTTTTACTACATGCACCACTGGTATCATGAAGTTCTTATATCAGTACTTATTAACGATGAAAACCAACATTTAAACAGTTAAACCCCTAGTTAAACCTCTTGACCATGGTCTACCTACTATAAGGGATGAAAAAATGTGCGCAGCCCTTCCATTGTAAATAACTTTTCCTTTAAACTACAAATTGGCGTACGTGAGTGTTCTAAATATTCACTCTCAACTATCCGAAAATAACGATGCGCCTCGCGCCTGTACCAAAACGGTAAAGAATTTATGGAAGTTATAAAAAGTGATTAAATCAATTAAATCGTTGTTTAGTAGTTGGGAATTTTAAATTAATTTTATGGATATATAGAATATTACTAATTATTATTAACAAACAGCATCATTGCATTGTTCAGAAATTATCTCTAAATAGTACAGTGTTTTATTTTGTTCTAAGATTTGGTACCATTTATTGAAATTCCTAGCGCCGCCGCTCCTTACGATAATTTTTTTAAGATATAATCTAACAAATTATGACGATCAGACTAGGAAGTGGTCAATGTCACCAAGTTATGGACATGTAAATGTTTGCCAAAATGAGTGTTTATTGTAGGAGACATTCTCTAAAATTTATAATACATAATTTACAAAGGTCAATGTTAATGTGGAAAGATAAATGCACTGGTTTATGAGGTTCCTACTATGATATTAATTTTTCTAATTGGAGGTCACTCGTTTATTTAGTAGAAAAAATTTTATTTCTAATAAAAAGAGTTTGGTAACATAAACACGTATTTCAGTAACATTGACGGTCAATCACAAGGAACCTCTTCAGATATCTTCTGGGATGCTAAATGTGCCATATAAATTTGAACAGCTCCATTTTCACTGGGGAGAACACGATGGGGTCGGCAGCGAACACATAATAGATGGATTCACCTATCCCATGGAGATGCACATTGTACATTCACAGAATCTCAGAGAAGATATTGATAAGTTCGTTGTCATCGCTTACTTCTTTATGGTAGGTAAATTTACTTATCTTCGTTAAGTGATTGAGTTTTCAGATAACTCCAACTGCAAATCCTTCTCTACAAGGCTTACTAGATGCGGCAATTGCCTTGAAACATGAACAGCAACATAAAGTAACTCCCTTTGCACTAGCGCAGATACTTCCTGATCGATGTTCATATTTTACATACAATGGATCGCTCACTACACCACCGTACACAGAATCTGTAACGTGGATTTTAGCAACCAGTGAAGTTCCTATTTCGAGAACTCAGCTAGGGGTTCTAAGAGAGGTTGCGAAAAAGCACAAAGGACTCCGGAACAATTACAGATGCATCCAGAATACTAACGAGCGTTCAGTTTACTTTCTGAGTGGGAAACCTGCATACTCACACAACTCGCTGTATAAATAAGACTACCTAACCTAAAACTGTAATAGAAATACAACTTCTTCCTAGTTTCCCGTAATGTTTTTAGTTCATTAGGAGGCGGTACGTGACAACTCGCCACCGAATTACTCGTCAAACGAACCAACTCACCAACGCGACATCTCGCCAATGGACAACTCGCCATCGCCGTAACTCTCCAAAACGAAACATTTGCTTATGGGATTAGCTCTTCACTAACCGATGTATATATTGATGAGAACGTAGTCAATTTGAAAATGTTAACAAAAAATTGGGACCAAAATCTTACCTTCACAAGCAAAGTGGTACAATCCGTGTATGCTCCATTTCGCTGTCTTTATAAATACAAAACTATTCTTTTACCTTCTCTCAAACGAGAACTTGTTGTCCATATTTGTGTGTGATGTATAAGGTCCGTGTTAAAAAAATTCCCAACAGTTCAAAACACATACATTCCATCTCAAGCAGTTGAATCCTTCAAATAAACGATATACACTATGTACGTTTAATTCATAAAATTATAAAATTTGACACCATAGGTACTTGCAATCCAAAATACTTTTTGGTAAAGATTTAGATGATCGTAATCTAAGAAATAAATACGATATTCAAATACCTGCACATCGACCGCAAAGTTGCAAATCCTTATGGAATTTCTGAACGAACAAGAGAAAACAATACAATTATTTACAATACACAAAATAAATCTCCGAGGATACGCTCTATGACACACACAAGCCACTGTAAAGGCTTAATATTTATTATTTCTTTTTACCGTAGACAATAGGGTAGATGACAAATTTTTTAAAACCACTTATAACTGTTCGTATACCTCTACTATAACTTTAAAATATGATATTTCAGCAAAATAAATCATATTATTGCAAATTTATGCAATTTAAATTGTAGATTTTTATTGTAGCGCCAAAACGCTGTTTTGTGTCATGGCGGTGTCTGTGACGTCACAGTCCTGACAATTATAAACACATAACCCCAGCGTAAATAGTTTAAAAGATTTCGTGATGAATTATAATTACTATAAGTGGTGCCCTACCATGGGGTACACCTTGTCGTGGTGGTAAGGCTCAGTAGTCACATTTTTCTGTGGCACAGCTAAGTATACCAGGCGGGTAAATCTGGTTCCAAGGATGCTGTATCATTCAAATGCTTCATGGAGTAAAGAAATCCAAAAGGGTTTTCGACGATTGCTCATTAAGCGTAATATAGAAAACTATATTGACATGAGCAGCACATGTTTCACGTACGTTAACTCCTGAGGCGTGCGGTAGGCGACAATTTGGACAACTTCCGAATCCGATTCAGCCATTTGCCGATAGAGTTTCGAATAATCGGACTAGATCATGACTTGTAGATGAGTAGGAAGGAAGCATGGGGAAACCAACTATTTTGTCACGCAATTTCTAACAAGACATGGGGAAAATGGGGTGTACCTGAAAGGAATAAGAAAGAGGGAGAGTGATGCCTGCACAGACTGTGGTGCCGTGGATGATGTAAAGTGCCCAAGGTGGGAAGCCGAGAGATACCCCGTCGCCATTAGAGTAGGAGAAGTAATGGAAAAGGATAACATAATCGAAACAATGCTGAAAAGTGAAGAGAAATGGAGAATAGTAGCACAGTTAATTGAGAAAATAATAGGCACTCGAGAAAAAGAAGGTAGATAATAGAAGGGAATATCCGAATAGGGGATAGCGACCCCTCTGGAAGAATGCTTGAGTGAAGGCGACGGTGTGCGGTAAAAAAAGGGGATCATGACTTGTGACGTGACATGACGTGATAAAGGAGACTGATGGTAGGGCAAAGAAAATAATTGTTTTCTTCGTCGACCACCAAGGAAACTGCATACAGCTTTGCGTGAACCGTATGTTGCGGGCAAATTTTGACTTAACTGTGAATAAGTTGCCATCACGCTTAAGAGTCTTCTGTTCGACTGCACCCAATGTAAGGTTCCATAAGAGCGCCCGCCATAAGAACTGTGTTTCAAAAAATAAAAGTTGTTTTAAGAACTACTTTATAAATTTAGACCTTTATCTACAAAATGTACGTAATGTAAAAAAGTTGCGCTCACGTACAGAAAACTCTTAAAGTGGACATACCTTACTGAATCATCGCCATATGATAGCTTCGATGACCTAAAAACAAAGCATCTTGTATCACAGTTTTGATACGGTTCTGTGCAACGTCTCCCTGTCTACACTGATACGATACGGAGATACAAGAGCAACAAGTCTGGACCGGCCTTGTACACATTCCTCTTAAATAACTACATTTCTTGTAATAAGCTTCACTTAAAAACCTACAAGACTTAAGGCTGATTCTCACTATACATAACGTTTCCATACCATATCCTTTCCATAAGACTGAATGTCTTACGCACTTATCACTTAAAGGTCAATTTCGTAGGTATAATAATTTACGGAATGGTTATGGAAAGGATATGGTATGGAAACGTTATGTTAAGTAAGAATCAACCTTTATTGGCAGTTTTCTGAAGAGCAAAAAGCTTTCTGTTTTGATGCAAGAAATATTCCCAACATCATTACATCAATTTTTGGCAGATTTGCTGCTATCAGCTTTCGTATACCCACTTTCCATTCCTATCTGGTTTTAAAAACTAAAATTTAGGATAATATAATCACTATAAAATGGAACAAGCACTAAATTAAAAAACGTGGACAAACTCTATCAACGCACGGAGATTTAGGATAATGACGTCACGCGCTCTGATTGGCGTTTGATATCACGTGACAAATGTCGTTATTTTTTAATTTTATTTTTACTAAAATACAGGGTATCTATAAAAGAACTCCGGGGTTTTAAGACAAAATATTTTAATACAGTAAAAAATGTACATACATGTTTTATACATGATTAGAAAGCTTACATTTTCAAGATTTTGTAACAACTTAGTAAAGTTCAATGTGAGCTCCGTTAGTTAGTTAGTCCAGACGACACTGACTGCCTGCCGCAGCCGTTACGTCATTTCACGGTCAACGCTCCGCAGCGCTGCCAACTGTTGAGAGAAACATTCCCAATTCGTATGAGTAAAACTCTTTGAGCTGCTTGTTTCAAAGGAATTGATCAAATTTTGCTATCTTTTATAGTTTAAAAAATATTAATTTTTTAAACCCCGGAGTTCTTTTATAGACTCCCTGTATAATAGTTTCTCGTGTACATTACCAAAGAAAGTTATTTTGCGATACCCTGGCACCTTACTCTATCTTATGAAACAAACATTTATTTATTCTTTTTCCACTGTCATGTAGCCTATTCAACTCATGTATAAAAAATCGCAGCCGCAGTGAAATTGTCACTTTGACAGCGGCAAAAGTTACCTGCAACTTTTCCAGCGACAAATGCACCAGTGGTTTTTTCACTTATTCATTTTCGAACCAATTATCGCATTATCCTTTCCCATATGACTATTTTGACGTCTGTCAATAATTGATTAGTTTAGTCACAGATCTACACATGCAACAGATTGCTAACCTTATGCATTTTTTGGGAAACACATTTAGGTATACTTAAAAGCGCCCTCTATTGAGCAGCAGATAATGCACGCTTAGTGAAGTGACAGACGGAAAACGCCAAACGTCAAGTAGCGGAAAAACCGTTTTTAGTTTGAAGACATTTTCTATTTGTAATGGGTTAACAGTGAATTTATTTGGGATTTGTTTCAGACTAGTTAATTTGTTGCTTGTGCGCCTTTCGTTTTTAAGTTTCCTGTGAAGTATAATAATAATAATAATAATAATAATAATAATAATAATAATAATATTTAATGTGTGCCATTACGCAGTATCTGCATTTACACTTGTCATTTAACCTAACTTTCCTACATAACTATAACACAAGACAAACACGATTATATTATATCACAGGTCATAAGAAGTTATAAACTTAACGCTTTTACCGACGCGACGTACAGAATTCCTCAAAGGTGTAAAAGGCCTTTGACAGAAGATATTTCTTTATACAGTCTTTAAATAGTTTTGCGGGGAGGCATCTAACATTTACAGGTAAAGAATTATATCTATCTATATATACTAATATTGCCGATTTTTGTGTCTTACTTACCTACTGTAATAATCTTTGAGGTAGGTATAAGTATACCTATAGTAACATTTTTGCTTGCATGCAATAACCTCATCTACTCATTCTCATTGATCCAAGAAAACCACACCGCCGATATGTGTAATAATGGCATATTTACTTAACTGTAGTGCGTGCGACTTATAGTCAGGTGCTATCCAAATCTATCTTCCGCCCCATCGAGCGATTGTGCAAAAATAATGTCTTCAAACTAAAAACGGTTTTTCCGCTACTTGACGTTTGGTGTTTTCCGTCTGTCACTTCACAAGCGTGCATTATCTGTTGCTCAATAGAGGGCGCTTTTAAGTATACCTAAACATAGATATATAAATACATAGATACAGCCATACCCCAACATAGTTCAAAAGGACGTACCATCTATTACCATCACTTTCGGCACATTAATTACGTATAGCGCTATCCTTTATAGAGGTACCCTGAGCATGGAAGACAAGATTCGCATTATTTATTATAACTGTCAATCAAATTGTTAGCACAAATCACAGAGAAAATTATCAGATTTGAGACTTTACAACATAAATAAACCGCCTTTTTATTTATTTAAATCGCATAGCAGCAAGAAATGTTACATTTAAAATGGAAGATGTTACTTAGAAAGCTGGCAAATGAAGAATTTGAAAAAATTACAGCTGACAACTGGAAGAAAGTGTGTGACCATGTGGAGAGTGATTAATTTAAAAGAGAAGGATTGGTTGATGTTTCTGAACTTTATAATAAGTGTTAATAATGACAGTGATGATTCGGATTTGTCAATTTCATCTGACGATGATTCGGATTGTGAACTTTTACAAACGTAATGAATGTTCACTAAATGAGAATTATCATCAATTGGATATCATTGTTAAGATTTTGTATTTATTTTAAATAAATGTACACGTGTAGCTTACTACAATTAGCACTATCATTTCAAAAAGAAACCCCACCGATTGGATTATGCCGAAAGGTAGGCAAGACGCGTAGCGACCAAAATTTGATATTGCACGCACACAACAGTCTATAAATCTCGCTTTCCTAAGAATATTGCACGCATCCTTCTTTGTGATCATGATACAAACGCACTGCATCATATAGGCCAAAATGATAATTGGAAACGAATTCACTTCCTGTCGCAACTTAATCTCCGTTACCATTACGCCTAAAACCATGCAATTAAAATTAAAATGTTGAACATAAACTCTACTTACTTACGGTTTTTTTGATATTCTGCAAGCCAGCAATGAATTCACTGCAGCACATCATGCCAAACAAGGTAAACATAGTCCCAAATTTGAATGGCGTAGCTCTATGTAATAAAACTATTTCAGGAATAACAATTATGGACGCGTCTATCATTATGGCAAGCACTAATCTTTATTCGTATTCAATTGATAACGCAATAATTACATAATATTTAGTGAAAAAACCGCCCATCATGTTTAGGGCGAATATTTTTAGTTAGATTTGATTTCGCGCGATCGTGAAATGTGTCAACTGTCACATGACTTATGGGACGCGCCAAGTTTGTTTTAAGCGTCCGATTCGCGTACGACATAGTGGTTAATGCAATAAAAAGAGATAGAACATGTTTCTTCTTGGTTAGAAAGTAATGGAGAGATGTACAAATTTCTTAGATATGTTTTTTAAAAACCGAGGTACGTTTGTTAAGGATGGCTGTATCTAGGTATTTATATATCTATGTACCTAAACATAGATATATAAA